CCGTTAAGAGCAATACGAACCGTAGTGTTTATAACGTAAATGAGTAAACATTAAAAAAAAAAAAAAACTGCCTCAAAAATATTCACACAAAAGTCATTTAATTTGTTAAATCTTTGTGGGACACTTGTATATAAGTATATTATTTTAAGTAGGTATAGTGGCTTAGTGTATATTGTAGCACTTGTCATTTCTACCTAACTATAAGGTTGTATTAAATATTGCTCAGGTCCATTTAATTTCAACCAAATCATTACCCACCTATTCAAATTTCAAATTATATGACATTTCCAAAAGAAACATAATATTATAAGCTGGTATGAAATTATTGAAAAATATATATTTATCTATCCTTGAATAAAAATTACTAAATTAATATAAGGTTTAATAATTCTGAACAATTCTACAATCGTATTGTTAATGTTACTACAGCTGCTGTGGACAGCTGCGGTGCTTAAATAACTACATGAGCCTATTTCAAATAAGGCGGTCCCATGGTGTAATGGTTAGCACTCTGGACTTTGAATCCAGCGATCCGAGTTCAAATCTCGGTGGGACCTGGTACTTTTTGCATTTTTTTACGCGTTTTTAATCAAATTTTCCCCACATAATATACATTTATTTGAATAAATGTTTCCCTTTTTTTATAACCCGTTAGCAATAATCATACATTTTAAATTAAGAACCGAATTTTTTAGCTTCAGGACAAAACCAAAAATGTACATGATATTCTTACAATAATGCCAACGTGTATTATGACTGTGTAAAAACAATAGTTCCACGCTATAAACTAATTTAAAACTTGTTTTTATACGTTTATATTTTTGCTATGCGTTTTATAATATCAGTTGTAGTACCTAGACATTTTTTACTAATGTATTGAAGTAAACAAACTGAAAGAACTTGTGTCGAAGGTATCTTTTGATTACGAATATGTTGTTGTGAGAAATGGTTTACAAGTAAAAATGTTTTTTTATTTCGGGCTATAATTGTTGTTCAATTTATTTGATTGATCTAAATCGATTATACTTGACCTATACGGTTAAACCTTTGTAATTAGAAATCTTTCAAATTATTTTATTGTTTTATATTTCAAGTTTATGTACAGCATAGGCATAATGATGAAGAGGGTGAGGTACAGCTCTCCCAGAATTAACTTCTGCCCTATATTTTTTCTTATTATTGAATATACATTTTAATGCTATTAGTTATTACTTATTACATAATTTTACAAAATAAATGTACAGGATGCTATTTAACTTTTAAAAGTTGCCCTCTAGTCTCTACAACTACTGTTTGAAATAGTTTTAACTTAAAACGATTAGAACTATTTTTAATCGTTCATTATTATAACGATTGTACTTGAAATCTCTTTTTAGCTAAAATATTTTTATTTCATAAAAAAGTTGCTGTGAATTATAATTTTGTCACTTCTCGTATGTATTTGTATACGGGTGATCCATTCGACGTAATAGTTAATACATTCATTTTTTCGGAAAATAATTATTAAAACTTTCTAGTTTTTCTTTTTGAAAACAATATTATTTAATACTAGCTGCCCGTGTACCCGGCTTCGCTCGGGTTAACAAATACAACTGCAACAAAGTACTCACAAATTATACACCTATGTATATTTTGTATTTGCTTAAGTTATATGATGACTTAGAACAGATTGTAAAAATGGAGGCATCATTAACACGAGTATTAAAATGTTGAATTTACTATTATAAGTAAAATAACCACAATATTTAATTAATTATACTTTGAATTTTTCTACTCTTGGTAGGTATTTATTAAAAAAAACTATTACAAAATTATAATTGTAAAATATATGTGTGGTAAACAATGGTTTAATACGTTGTTAAATTGCGTTACCAGCGTACGTTTGTTTAAATTGTTGTATATAAATAGATGATACTTTGCCAAATAACCTTATTTAGTATTTTCAATGCACTATCAACTTTGAAACTGCAATAGAAACGTAGGTATTTAATTATATTTAAAAGTAATATTTTGAGTTTACCATGTGAAGTGTATGTGGATGTGTGGTGAAGTGCTATTGAGGAATGCGTGCAGATACAACAAATACTTCACCCTGCTTCCTTTTATAAACCTTAATTTTAATAACTTTTTAAGTAATGATTTTTAAAAACTGGATATCGACCAATTTAAATTACAAGCAAATTTGTTTTGGTTTAAAAAGTTAATTCAATATAAACGTGGCCATTTAAGTTTCAAAAGTTGATAGAGCTCTGGAAAATACCAAATGAAATGTTTTCAAAAAAAAAAACTATAAAATTGTAGTTATTTTCCAAGAAAATGACGTTTAATGGATCACCCGGTGTACTAGGAAATATGTTCTCTACTTTTATCTACATTTGGGTCTAACACGAATACAACAGGTGTTAACGATTTTAACAGTATATATTTAATGAGACGGTGTACCTTGTATAGGTATACCATATAATATTATTTGATAAAATAATTTAATACCGATTACCGACTGTTAATAATTATTCGAGACTTAAATAATGTATAGGTACTGTTCGATAAGTATTATTTCTTATAGAAATAGCCACTGTATTGATGTTTATGAGGTCGCTTTAGTTATAAAATTAAAAGTACATTAGTATTAATGTTTATTAATTATTAGTTTAAATTTATGTTATCATTAAACATTATATGCCATTAAAACACTGTCTCATAATATGCATTTCAGAAGGAATAAATGTAACATACATATGTAAGTAATAAAACAAGTGTATCAATATTACATGACAGATTAATATAAATTTTATTTTTTATATTTAATTCTATCATCGTTATACATCCTGTACATGAAAATACTTTTATTTTCGATGTGGACCTGAAAAGTTTTTCGTTTTAATCTTTTTAGACTACACTTCCGTGAAGTCTTTCTCTAAAAAGAAGTTGCCAATTCATAATTATCTTTTATTTCCATATTGTTGGCACAGTTTGAACTTTGATTTTTGGTAGATCTAGCGTGTATCAATAACACAAAAAAGAAAATTTTTATTAAGAAGATTTTTTAAACAAAATAAAAAATAATTTAGCCTTTATCGAAATTGTTTTTTGATATTGTATAATGTTTTTATCGTTTATAGATTCGCGTCGAAGCATTATTTCGTAGTGTTATTATGACTTTCAGCTATACGAGTTCGGAGTTGAAATTTGACTTTCAGGCCTAATTGTGCTAGATTTTTGTTAAATTTAAAATAAAAAAAGTCTACTTAGTATAGTTTAGTCTTAACTACTATTCAAAAATGGTTTATTTAATAGTTATTATTAGGTAAGACACATCGAACCATTTAAAGTGAATACAATTGAAATCAATTTTACAAAATATCGTTCGATTTATAGAAAAGTCAACAAGACTAGTAGGTACCTACGCAATATACATATTATTCAAAAAAAATATCAAATCGAAAAAAAATATGTGTTCACTCGTACATAATCGAAGCTTTCAATAATATTTGGAACTTAAGACTACCTATTGACGTCATAGACGCTTGACGTCAAGCGTTTGCACACAAAAAAGAACACCTGTATTTGTTTTTTTTAAGCTTATCGTTATTGTACTTCTCACTTGCTGTACTGCTTGCCCTAGGTCTTTCTTTCTGTCTCGTTTTAACTTTTTTAGACGTATTGACTAGATGTACATATTAATTCATATTTTGTTCTATTCCATATTCGTCGTTCTAATTTCCTTGACATTTACGATCCCTTTCTATCAAGTAGTCATGTTTATGATTTTTTCCCCGCTCTATAGAATGTTGCTAAATGTACATTAAAAATACATATTGTATTGTGTAAATTGAATTTGTCCCATTTAAAAAAATTTAAAACACAAATATTTTCCGCCTAGAGCAACACGAATGCACGAATTATCACAGACAAAACAGACAAAAACACAATTTTTTAGGCACTAAAAAAAATAAAATCAGATACTTTTCTCAACTTATGAAATGTTTGAAAATTTATATAAAGCTACAACAAATCAAATTTTTTTTAGAAAATTAGACGTAGAATATAAAACTAACAACTATAATCATACTTTTCTAAATTCATTACAACTTTTGATATCATTTTATACTACTATTTAAGAAAAGACATTTAACAGTATAGTTTGAACATTAATAATAATTTTACTACCCACTGTTTCTGTTTCAATTTACTAAAAATTACATAATTAAATCTACTTAAGTCATACTAGCATGCTTCAACAGAATTATTTTATAGTAAAAATGCTAAAATTTGGTTATCATTAGTCTTAAGAGTTGTGTACAAATATATTTGTACAAAAAAATATTGTTTAAAAAATATATCATATATTATTTTTACAAAACCAGTAAATTATAACTTACAATGTATTCTAAATACAATTTATATTAATATGTAATTAATTTGTGCCAAAAAGAAAAATGTAATTTATATATAAAATTTTACCTTAAATTTTAATGTAAAATGCACAATTTTGTAGCATAACTATACCTATGAACCAGGTAGATCATTATTTAATCACTTTGTATTATTTTTCGATTTAGTATACATGTAGGTACATAATTTAATAATAAGTATACAATTTAGCCAATTGTGTATGATATATTTTGTAGCCCCACTCAAACGGTTTGAAAACTGAAATACATGGGTTGGTCTGTTGTAAGACAACAAGGGCTGAACACAGATTATACGAAATCATTTTCATATAATATATACAACATATATATAATCAATTTGTGATCTGAATAATAATAATATATCGGCAATAAACACGAGGAGGATTTTAGCTGAAAACAATAAATGTTAGGCTTAAAAATCGATGAAAAATATATTGATATAGCCTCACAGTGGTTGTATATGATTTTGTTTTTTAAGTTGTTGTTAAAAAATACGCGTGACATAACATCGAGATCAAACAACACGCAGATGGTTTTGTTTGATTTTGTATATTTTTTTTCCGTCCATAAAATCGTCGGTTCGTATAGTATGATTTATGTTTTTTGTTATATCGAAATAGATAAGTCTGTGTAACTTCTACGGCACCACTTTAGTGTTAGAACTATTGTAATATTGTACAGTTTGCTTCTATAATAAAAAAGGTAAGTAGGTACATAATAAATAAAAGTGAATAATAATTAATTGACGGCAAGCAAATAAAACATCAAATACACGTATAAGTTTATTAAAATAGTAATTTAAACACTTTCTCCAAGTTAGGTAATCAACAAAAAAAGCCCAATGAATTATTTGGGAATAATCATAATCGCCTTTTTGGCGGTTCATGAGTGCCGCTCCTGCGGACCAGGTATGTTTCACTTAACTACAAGTCAATATTAATATTTTTTCTTGAAACATTAATGCTATTGTATCATATTCTTTAACTGAAAAAACTATTACTATATTACATATTTTAAAATGGTTTTTAGCGGGTACACCGAAAAATATGTGTGAAAAATGGAACGAAGGTAAATTTGTATTATTGGAATGTAATTTATCAGTAGTTCTTAGAGCATACTTTAGTTACTGTAATGGACGACAAGAATGTCGCTTAGTTAAGGGGATTGCACAGGCCGAATCAGTGATCCGATAAGCAATCTAAAAACAGATTTGAATTCGCCATGACGTTTATTTATGATAGGTCAGGGTACTTTTTCAATTTTTAATTTTAATCCTTTTCAAATTGGAAATTTTATATAATGTTCAAACGTGGTGTTTTATACATACTAAGAATAAGATATCAAAAAAGTACCCTGACCGATCATAAGTAAACTTTATGACGAATTCAAATCTGTTTTCAGATTACTTATCGTATCACTGGTTCAGCCTGTGCGATGGAACAAAAAATGCATATTATATTAACTAAAATGGCTTTTACTCATAGACAAAATGATTTAAATTAAAAATAATACCATGAAGCTTATACAAATTAACCGGTAAATTAATTGACATGGTCGAAATTGATTAAAACCACTTTTATCTTAAATATTGCTTATACAAAACTCCTTAAAAATGGTCGGTATCCAGGGACCTTAAATATTGCCTATACAAAACTCCTTAAAAACCAACCGCATATTATAATCCCCTTAAGTATTTTGGTCCCTCAGTGAATGATTTTTTTAATAACTGGAGATTATCATCTTATAAAAAAGATATAAAACTATAAAAATAAACATAAAATAGCTTTTACAAATAATTAGTTATTATAATAAAATTAATAACAAAAGAAACTCGAAAATAACATGGTAATAAAGATTTTTCGATTAAAATATCACAATGGACGGCCGACAGACTAGTTTAACTTATAAATAGTTCCAAATATAGATTTTAAATTAGAGCAGAATAATCAATAATGAGCCTACCCTTTACCATTTGCATAACTTAAACAATTTTTTACGTTATTTACATACGTAGGACTTTTAATAGTTTTAGTTCATATGTGTTTGTTAAATAATTATTTAGTATTGAAAAAAAAAGTTAAATTAAGATTGTCTAAAAATGAAGAACAAGTATTATATAGCACCAATCATATAACAAAAAAAATAATTATGGTTGTAGATAATTTAATATTCTTTGAATAGTGGGGGGGGGGGGTTAGGGGGGCAAATCGCCAGGTTATTATAGCCATGTCTAGCTCTGATTTATAGCCTAGTAAAATTTTCTTAAAATATGCACTGGTTTTGTTTTGTACAAGTAATAACAACAAGTGTCAAACAAAAACTATATTATTCCGAAAAAATACAAACTAACTTATAATTGTATTTTTGCAGTTATCTCATCAGCAAATATAGCGAGTAAGTACTGAATTGAAAAATTTATATTAATTCAAAAGAGCATATTAAAATACTCTAAGAGCTTTCGAGAACTTCCCATTAGCTCTCCAACTTCCAGTGCTATCAGAGTCGTACATAGTATATGTATGATAGAAAAGTCAAATGTTATGTATTTGATAACAATTAAATGTAAATTACCTTAAACTTAATTATTGACTTAATAATTTAAAATTTGTATTGAAATTGTTAATATAAATTAAAATATTTAAAAAAAATTCCCCATCATCGAATCATTAGATAAAAGTCAAATTTAGCTAGACTTGTTATAACTTATGCACTCTTATGATTTATTTTTATTATTCCCGTCTTATTATTTATTTTTAAAAATACATCAACATAGGTATTTACTAATTATTGATTTTTTTCAGAAAGATTGACTACAACTCGTAAGTATAAGGCTATTGATATACTTTCTTTGATTTAAAATGTATAGTAAGTAATTTAATTAAATATGATATTCCTGTTTTTTATTGTGTTCAATTATTTATTTTCTACAGCCCGAGTTGAACGATTGGCTGAAAGTAAGTTAAATAAGATAAAACAAATTAAAGAAAACTTATTGCACAAAAATTATCACATGGGAAATCATACATTGCTTCAAAAATCTATGTACTAATAAACAACTATAATATATCTGTATACAATTAAAGTTTTTTCGAATTTTGTATTCGTTTGGTTTTTCTTATGCTTTGTATAGGTAATCATAAATTGCACAATTAAGGTACCACAAAGCACACGCATTTGAATAATAATAATTAGTAGTAGAAATATCTAGGAATGATAATATAAAATATATTTATATACAAACATAATATTTAAAATTATATTTTCCTTGTGTAGAATGCGTTCGATGCATAATGGAGCTTATCAATAGTAAGTTACAATTATATATTTTAGATTCTATTTTTATTCTTTAATTATATTGTTTTAATAACTGTTATCGCCTCGGATAATTTTGGAAATTGTTATAAATAATACATCTGAAAAAATTATTATAATGACATTGTTTTGGGTTAATATGTATAAAAACTTTTAAAATAATCCAATACTATTTTTTTTTTTTTTTAGAAAAGGATCCTCAACATAGTAAGTGTACTTTGCGTTGTTTCTACATTATTTATAAAATTAATAATTAAAATGTTTAAAAGGATACTATACCACGTTTGGAGTGGATACGATGCAACTACACGCTTATGAATCAATACAAAATTCATTAAGTAGGGTAGGTATAATTGTTTATGTATTTTTATTGAATTTAATCGTACTATTTATCACACATACAACTGATATAAATTGTAATACAAACATTTAAAAAAAATCCCTAAGTTAAAACGAGTCGGGCGTTTAAGAAATGCAGAATTCCATATTATTATATTACAAATTATGAAAAAGCCAGGTACTTTTTAGGTACATTCACTGAGAACAATTATATAGAATCCTTACATAAAGAACGGTTCACTAGTTAAAGAGATATTGTAGGAACAGACGCAAAAAAAAACACATCATTGTAAAAACTATATCTTCTCAGTTATCCACTCTGCGTCGGAGCTAGAATTGGTTTTATGGTTAGGTATTTTTTGTTTCACATTGAAACCTTAGAGCTACTCTTATAATTCCCAAGTAGGACAAAGGCAAGAGCGTGTGAAGTAATTATCGAGACAGGGGTAGGCCAAAGAGTAAGTTGACGGATAATGTAAAAAAGGACCTGGAGATGTGCGAGGCTAGGGGATTCGGTTGCGAAATTTATTTGTATGAAATAGGACGTAGTCAAATAAATGACTCTTCTTGTTTCAGAGTAACCTTTGAACTTTTTCGTTTTAGGAAACGTTTGAAAGACCTTTATTTTATTTGTTCGGCGAAGCCAGTGTTCGCGTTTCCAAGTATTTCTACAGGATGCACAACTACGAAAAAGGAATTGAGATCATCCACGATGGTAACCATATGAGAAAATACAATTGCATTATGATAAATAATTGACGTTTCAAACAACCGTAGTATATAATAATTATTATTTTGAAACGAAATGTATTTTAGCTATTTACAAATTTGACAATATCGCAGAAGACCACTTAGAACCGTATAAAACGTACATGTGGAAAGCCTATCTGCATGAACAGCGGTTGAAACTAGTGCAGGGAATCAACAAATACAAAAGCTCGGCCGAATATGTGGAAAAAATGAGAAAAAATAGTTTTGACTTAGCTTTTTCTAAATACGAGATGCTACCATCCGAGTCGAGAGAAGACCCCGACATGACATTTTTAATAGGAAAAGAAAAATTAAAGGTAATTTGTAGTTCAATGTAACTCTCCGATAATAAATTGTTGTGTTACGAAAATGTAAAATTTAAACAGAATTTTTAGTAAATTCGATTATAGATATTATTAATAATTGGGTAATAACTTTGTCTTGTATTTTAACTAAGCTTTATTTTAGACTTCAAATAGTGATTTATCAATGTTTACCTATTTACTCGAGATTACTTTCTCATGTGTTACTTTATATTAAAGCGTGTTGCACGTTAAGTTTCTTTTACCTACTATCTCCTCACAGTAATATATAATGTTATTGTATTTGTAAGTATATTGAGGTATAGATGGCAAGCTATTTTTTAATGTACATTGGGACTATTCATTAGAATGTAAGTAAAGGCCATTTAGACAATCGATTCAATTACGTGTTTCGAAACGTTGGCGAACCAGTCAATATAACCAAATGGGATAACCGCAAGGCGTGTAAATAGTCCTACACTTTTGTTTTATCTAGTTCATTTTAATATTGATTGAACGTAATAAAGCCTATCGACTGGTATTTTTTTTTTATATATATACTCTTTACTATCCAAAACAATAACTATATAGACTGTTGGGTTTTCACGAATTAACAATAAGGTGGAATATATTTACAACTTATATAAAAAGTAAAAAAAAACAGAATGATTATTTTTTATTGTTTTTAGATCTTGCATGCACATTTGCCGTTGGATGATAAGTTTTCAAAAGTAGCGATCGACTCTACAATCGAAGAAGGTATAAAATACCTTGAAAAATACGATAGTATGTCCAATGCTGGCGATCTCATTGAAAGCAGATTTATTTTGGGAAACGCGTATATGGTATTAGACGAAATAGACAAGGCCAGAGCTAGTTATGTGAAAGCCCTTTTAACGCCAGTCAAAAATGCTGAGGCAAGTTGTTTCTACTAAATTTCAATCTTGGACGTATCTAAATATTCAATGCCATCGATGTGAAAAAAAGAGTTAAAATCTAAGTTGAGATTGTTTTTAATTGTTTGTTGCTATTATTGACATTATTTTTTATTTGTAATTTTAGGACAGAGCATTTAATTATGAGGTACAGAGGACTTTAGACAGATTTTGTAAGTATGTTTGAACTAAGAATAGTTTATGTTTTATTTGTGTCAAATAAATTATTGTGAAATATTACTAGAACTAATGATAGGTACATAATTATTTGAATGTTAACATTAAATTAATTCCTAGAAATCTTAATTCTGTTTTATTTGTGTTAAAACAAAATCATAAAGATATAAACATATACATTACGAGTACAACTGACAGCAATATTCAACACTTGCACTAATGACATATCTATTATAATTGATTTCAGACAACAAATTAGCTATATGTAAGTGTATGCTTTTAAGAGCTTTTATACTATATTTATTACTTACTACTAACAATAATACTAAGCTAATAAAGTATCTGTTTTTTTAGCTAAGGATTCCCCAGCTAGTAGTAAGTAGCATACCTACTTCTAGATTGCTTATAGTACATACCTATCTACATAAAATTTTACTACTATTTCAAGTGTAGGTTACGTTATCATTTTCATGTTTAACAAACATTTTATTATTTGTGAAACTTTCATTCAACTTTGACCAATAAAACATAGTTTATAATAGGGTCGGACTAGGCCATTGTGCTCAGCCAGCGTCAATCGTTACAAAATGTTTGATTTTTTTCTTCCAAATTTCAACACAAATTTGAACTAAATCGGTTAAACATTTCACAAGTCTATAAATATATTTTTAAACATTTTACAATATCATATACAAAAAAATAAATATAAAATTATGTATATTTCAGATCCTGATGTACAAATAGTTTTTGACAATATTGACGCGACAGTTTCTAGGAAATATAAAAATTTCTGGAAAGAATTGTTGCAAAAAGTAAGATTAAGAGATTGTTTGAAAGATAATATTTTATTAACCAACTATTTTTATATGTTTAAGGGTGCTTTTGGAACTAATATCATTTATGAATTTATAATAAACGCGCTAATTCTCAATGCCAAAACTAGTATTGAAAGTGAAAACTACGAACCAGATGAAGACATATTATTTAAAAGTACGTATAAATTATAAACAATTCATAAATAAAATGTTAGATAGTGTTAAACTTCAAAGGATACCCAATGACTAATCATAATGATGAGTTTATATAGTGTTTGAAATGCTAACATCGAGTTAATAGATTCAAAATCGTTGAACAAAGATACTTTATTATATGGTCGAACACCAAAAGAAAATAGCATTTCACTTTTCTTTTAAACCCAACAATACTTTTTTCGGATAAAACATTGAACATAGATTAACATTACGGAATTAATTACCGTAACTTGTTTAATTATCACAGTTATGTAAGAGAACAGTTGTAAAATGAGGGGTGGGGTGTTGTGAGACAGAAAGTTGCAGTTTGTAGTAATAGGAAAATTGTAAGAAACTTTGGCAAAGCCCGCTTTTATTTACTGAAGTGTGTGTTGGGCATAAAGAACAGAGGTAACAGGAAAGTGGAGTAGTTGAAATAAAAATGTCATGATGAATGTCTGGGGTGAACGGTGAACAGATTACTGACTATCTACTATTTGTGTTTATAGCAAGAAATGCATTGAATAAGCTAGAACATCAGGTACCTAAATATGAGTTCTCCAAGTGGATGGTCGTGCTGTTAGGAGCTGAGAATTATTTAAATACTAAGCGTAGATCTTTCCTGTATCTAAGGATGCATCTGGATCACGCGCTTAAAACTATAGATAAAGAAGTTCATGACAATCAACTAACATATTTACACGGAAAATACTCATGCAAGGTAATAAAATGTTATTGTTTTTAAAATTGTCCATCGATATTATATATCATAAATGCTCATGACGTAGGTATACACAATAATATGTGTGACAGTTTCGCGACTGATACGATTTTGAGTACATGGAATTCAATACGAACCTACACTTTTAAATATTTAAAAAATACAATATTATTTTTTAGTTTTAGTCTTTTTTTATTTCCTCTCTTATTGTATATAAATTAAAAATACCAGAGATGTAAGTAACAAATTATTTTAGTCCTATACTAAACACTACTACTAAAAACGTAGTTGCATGAAACTAGATACATTTTTATTTATTTACAAATTATATATAAATGGACTTTAATTAGGGCCCTTATTAAATGTCTTAAGCCCATTTTTCAAACGATTTCATATGAGGTTTCTAAAGTCACAAAGTATGTAGTTCTACGCCTTTGCAAAAAAAGTTAACTATTATAGAAAATTAGACTGTTAAAATAAAAATCCTAGCCTCCTGAATGCTCGAGCTCAAGCAAAGAAATAATCCATCCCCACCCAATATTCTTCTCCCTGTTCACATACTTCACTATGCTACCTATATATATTATAATCATTATCATATTTATGTTTCAATTGTCTAGATCGTTTTGAATTCTGCAAGCTACAATAGTGTCATTAACGTCGTTGGATGGAATATTCCAACATCAAAAAACGATATAAAAACAAATGTGGATCGCTGTTTAAGAATAATGGAGAAAGAGGATAACAAATCTATATTTATCAATGAGATTGACAAGAATATACTTTTAGCATCTGTGTACTGGTATAAAGGAAGACATATTGAAGCTACAAAAGTACTACATAAAACGATTTTCACTGTGCCAGTTTTAAATGCAGAAGTAAGAATATTATTAATGTGCGGGCTACATAATTTGTTTTTAAAACCGTGTATTATGCAATATATTACTATAATAGCAAATATTATGTAAACATATTTCTTTAACACTTATAAATTATAATTTATAGGACAGATGGAATAACTTCTTAGCCCAAGAGTTACTTGGTTTCTATCAAGCTGAGAACATTAAGAATAAAAGAAACAAGGATCCATTTATTCCAACAGGATTAATCAGTTTTCCCACTTCCACTAATGATGGAAATTAAAAATAGTTGCACTATTATTTATAAAATATATATATATATATATTTGTTGTATTATTCTCAAACTAATGGTCAAATTACAAAAATTTTACCTATGATAATAAATTCGGATTGGTTAAAAATGTAACTTACAATATTAAACATGTTTCTTTATTTAAAAATAAATAATCACATTATTGGAAAAGTACATGTAAATTACCCTAGTATTTTTTTAAAACTTTTTCTTTTACTCGAATGCCTAATTAGCTTGATCATTTTTGAAAAGATAAATCATCAATTAGAAACATGTGCCTTAATCTACAATGACAAATGTCTTATCGGCAGAAATATTATAATATATTTAAGATAAGTACCTGAGAATAAATAATGAGTACTAGCTATTGTTTGTGTGTGTGTATCTTCTTAAGGCTACACCATTATAATGTTATATCTATACTAGAGTGGTTCTTATTTTCACGATTTCCGAATTTCAATTGTGCCGCCCCCCCCTCCCATTCGATTCGAAAAAAAATAAAACATTTTAAGCCAACTTTGAAATTTCTAATTCGATTCTAATCATTCCCTGTAACGAGGAAAAGTTTTCCGTTTAAAATACATGCAGTTCCCATTTTTTAACTTGATTATTGTATTACAAGGGCAAATTATTGACAAAAAATGTAATTTATATGAAATTATCGTGGATCAGTGTTACTTTTAAGCATGAACTAATAAATGATCTTAATTTGTGCTTTTAGGTAAAAAAATGTTAGCTTTTGCTTAGTACCGTATAGTTCATTAATAACAAAGAATAAGGATCAAATCCATACCTGATACAGATTGTGTCGGAATTCCGGAAGGTATTTCCTGATACCAAAAAAAAGAAACAGTTATAAAAAAATTTTAAATTAAGCACTCAATAAATTTAAAGTACTTTATAATTCTACTAAAAATTTACCGTGCTAGTATTTATATATTTCAATTTTTTTATTACTAATATAGTTCAGAGTTTTAGGTATATATGTATATATCTTTTTGTCTGTAAATGAATCATAAAAAATAGTTTTTTTTAAATAAAAAGGAGCGATTTTTAAAGTTATCGTCAAATAACCTAAATAATGACACTAAGGACTCAAATATTTAATTTTAATTTTTTTTGTTATTAAGAATAAATAATGTTTATTCCAAAATGTAATTATTTTGATAGATTTGTGAAATACTCAATGCTTTATATGTAAATTAATGTTGAACACGTATAGAATATCATAATATGTAAAAATTTGTTTTTTCTATTTTTCAGTAAAAAAAAATTAAAAATCTTAATTGTGCAGTGTAAAAAATACATAAAATTACTCTTACATTTTTTTGTAAAATTTGTGACAATTTCATGTAAAATTAATTTTTTGCATCAATAATTTGCCCGTGTAATATTATAATAATCAAGTTAAAATAGGGAAATTGCATGTATTTTAAACGGAAAACTTCTCCTCGTTACAGGGAATGATTAGAATCGGACTAGGAAGTTCAAAGTTGGCTTAAATATTTTTTTTTCGAAACGAATAGGGGGGCGGCACAATATTGAAATTCGGATATCGTACAAATAAGAACCACCCTAATCTATGCATTATTATTTTTACTTGTGTATAGATTTACCAGTAGTCTATATTTTATAGACTACAGTAGATATATTTTGTCTGAGGTGGGACCTCCGCAGATCCGGGGATCCGGTTACATAAAATTGATCATTTTTTATGACACTCTTGTTTTAAAGCAAACAAATCTGTTTTTTAACCTAACATCTGGGGTGAATCCTAAACTTACACCTGAGTTCCCCATCCCAAAAAATTGTTCTTTTTTATTACAATACCACCGATACTAACATCAGTTAAGAAGTAGACTGTCCTATGTTCGCTCAGTCGCTCAGTCCTATGTTCGCCTTCGATCATTGAACAAGTTTTTCACAGCTCTGTCATCTTTTTCTTCTTCAGTATTTATACAGAAGAAAACTTTTCAACGCTACCAATCAAAGTAAGTGTATAATATTTTTTTATACTAGCTACTTTACCAGACATTTAAATAATATACGTTCTGTTTTCCCATTTAATGACCAAATATATCCAAATCGGTGATTTAAAAATGATTTTCTGTACCCTATCATGAAAATGGGGGGAAAAGTCTATGATCGTTTCGGATAGTCATGTGTTGCCTGGCTAATGGGCCGATTGGTGAAATATTTACCCAAATCAATTAAAATGTCAGCTGAGGAGATTCAAAATTACAACGAAAATGTAGGGACCAACAAAATTAATCTTGTATACAAAGGTAAAAATAATAATTATTACTACAACTCTGTATAAAATTTAATTAAAATTTAACTGTCGATCAGTTTCCAATTTAAGTAAGATATAAGTAGGTAAGAAAATTATGTACATATTCACCAAGAGTGTATAAGTGCACTTATAGGTATATTCTTTTGCCATTCAATATTTATTTTAATTCTACAAAAATGTTTTGTTTTTTCAAATTCCTTCGTTTATTTTTTTTTATATTAGTTGATCTTTTTAGACTCTAATATAATACTATTATTTTATTGGACTTTGTTTAATTTTATATATTAAATTTAAATAATGTTATCATAATTATATACTGTAAAAAATATTTCTGCTGACAGTATCACTCAACGATAAAAAAAGAAACAAATACAATTTTTTTTAACTGTTTTATTTTATGATAATGTTTTTTTCAGGGCTCTTATTAAAGGAAATCACATTGAAAATCCAACCAAAATCTAGTGGCGATGAAAAGAGAAAAATGTATATGTATTCAGGACATGATTTTAGTATTATGTTATTAACGGCAGCTGTTTTGGGACATTTAATAGAAAAACCAAGATTTGGTGCTTCCTTGCATTTTCATGTTTAGAGATTTAATGATACCGATGAAGATGTCATAAGGTAAATTTTATTTGCGTCGATTTGTTTTATGTAATAAATAATTATAATACAACTAGGTATATTAATGTCATTTCGCATCGTGATCGAGTGGAGTAGGTACAGGTACTGTAGCAAGCAAGCCATTACTTTTTGTCATTATAGAGATTTTTTTTTTAATTTATTAAAATTTGTAATAAGTATGTGTATTGAATAAATGCATGCGTGTTTTATAATAATCTGTCAGGTATATTTACAATTTATATGCAAATCTATTGGATCATCGTGATAGATACATTCTGTATGTAAAATAACTACTATTACATTTTACTGTGTTCCATATTATCTGAAAAGTTGGGATAACGAAAAAGGAGAAGAATTATGAATATCAAACTGTAATAGCCCATACAAAATTGCTGATTTTATAAACAACACTAACATCAAAATTACAAAAACCTGGGAAGAAGAATGCCATACTTAATAACTTCGGCATACACAATAATTTATACCCCATTTATGAAAATTAATTATACATAACTTAAGTTATTACAGTTTGTATGTACCTACGTAATAACTAACGAAGTGTAACTCAATGTATCTCAACAACATTATATTTATAATTGTAGTTTTTAAAAAATAAATAACTACTTTAGACGATTGAAACATTCTATCTTTCTTGAACAACTTTCATAAGTGCGGTAGGTAACGCGCGCAGATAAAAATAAATCTACGCGGTTTACTCTACTGCACTCCACTTCCCGTCACCAGTCATCCTCACTTTCAAATGAATATAACTTTTGAACGGATGAATAAAAGTAAAATTTTTTTTAACCAATTCTTATTTAAAAATTATTTTGAATAAAATAGCTATCTTGAAAAAAAATAAAAAAATGTAATATAGGTAAAGTAAAATAGATAAGTGCAATAAAAACCACAGTGCTTATAGCGCAAATGAGTATAAATTATTAAAAAAAAAAATCTCAAAAATATTCACTAGAACAAAAGTTATTTCATTTGTCAAATCGTTGTGGTTCACCCTGTATATAAACACATAATTTTACGTTTTTTTTTATAATATTTGTTATAAATAAATAATTAAATAATAATAATAATAATAGTACCTACAACGGATTCATTAAGATCATATCACATTATAAATGTCGTCGACTCTGTTCTTAAGTTTGCTGTTGAATAGATAAATTCTATAGTCGTAAATTGTAATGGTATTATTAACATTATTTAATAAAAAATGACGTAAATTGGAGTGGTTTAGTTCATCAACAATTGTATTTTGATGAACTGTAATTTACAGTATAATAATTATATATTTTTCGGCATGGTAATAGAGCACCCGTTTTCTCATACAAGACTAATGCTTTTTCAGAAGGAAAAATCTCAACTGACAAAGGTAAACTATAAAATATAAAGATTGTACTATGTCTTGACAATAGCGTGTATCGCAGAAGGTAAAACATTCTGGTTTTTATCAAGTCCGATTCGACAAGTATTACATTGTTATTTAAGTCAAAAGAAAACATCACTAGAAGACTAAATTAAAATATTTTTGAAAATTGATAATACCGTGTGTGCTTATTCTACTGTTATGAAAACAACATAAGTTCTATAAAGGACATATTTTGCGTCGACTTTATGATGGGTTCTTGTGCAATGTGTAGTAAGTTTACAACGTGCAAATAAATGTTACACAACTCTATACATTCGTCCCAACGCTTTTACATTTTCAGTTAATATTTTACAACATTTAAAGTCAAATAAAAATACACAGTTTTTTTCAAACTCGATGTATATTAACTAAAAGTATAATGTATCTATCCAAATAACTAGGCCGAGGGCATTTGGTAATTTTACAAAATTATAAAAAATGAAATTATATTATTGGCTTATTTGTCAAACTTTTACACTTATTGACCATGTAAATACATTTAATACCTAGGCCTAACAAATTGTATATTATCTAAATTTAAAAAAGCGGTAGATTACTCAAAATAAAAGTTCTAAATGATCTAAGAAGTTTATGTAATATATTTACTATTATCCTTATACATATAAAAAATGTTTGTTAGCGATGAACTCCGAAACTACTTAACTGATCTTGATGAAACTTTTTACAATGTGTGTAATTTGGCCCATTTTGAAAAATAGGATAGGTTAGATATGAAAAATTAGAAAAGGTGCCCGGAAAATTGGAGAATTTAAGATTTTAACGAAAGTTTATTCCAATAGATGGCGCTACATGCACAAATATCACGGTTGGCAGCTGTTCATATT